CTGCTTTGGCAAGATATGCTCCACAGTTGGTGAGTACTTCTGCTGAGAAGTGTTATAAAATTTTGAGGGGACTTCAGGATAATTTGAGGCAACTCCTGGTACCATTTTATATATATTATTTCTCTAAGCTTGTAGAGAGAGCTCGACTGATAGAGAATGATCTAATGGCTACGTAGCAATGGTGGACTGCTAGTAGAAAGAGGTTCAGTGGTGATACATCTGGTAGTAGTTTTTCTAGGAAGAAGAACATATTTATATCCAGAGATTCTAAGAGGAGTGGACAGTCAGTATATGCTAAAGTTTCTAGTAGTGGCAGTATGACCAGTTATGGTTCAGTAAGTGGGGCACGGTGTGCCAGAATTATGGATAGAGATATTTTGACCAGTGTTACAGGATGACTGGTCAGTGTTTCAGATGTGGTCAGGATGGACATAGAATTATAGAGTGTACACAAGCCAAATTTGATCGACAATCTGAGTCCAGATTAGAGAGCTTTGTTAGATCAGTGGGACGGCTAAGGATAGTTCCTCCCCATACTATTTCTGAATGATCTTCTGATAGAGCTGGTGGTTTAGGTTCTGTAGCAAGGAGACCACCCAGTAGTAACCAGAGGGAGCCTAGTGGTTCTGTAGCTCCAGCTCCAATTCAGCCATATGTGTATAGTTTGAATCAGCAAGAGGCTCGAGATGCTCCAGATATGGTGACAGGTGCGATTTATATTTTTGAACATCCCTATCGTGTTTTGTTTGATTATGCAGCTAGTCATTCATTTATTTTCGAGCGTTATTTTGATGCATTACAATTGGCTTTAGTTACGTTACATGTTTCACTTTCTATAATTTTGCCAGCTGGAGATAATTTGATAGCCATGAAGTTTTGTTTATGTAAGATTGAAATTTCTAGAAAGAAGTGGAAGTCTTGTTTAATTTTATTGTCAATTTCTTCGTATGACGTGATTTTGGATATGAATTGGCTGAGTTTGTATGGGGCTCAGATTAATTGTCTGAAGAAGCAAGTTACTTATTTATGGATGGTGAAAGTTATGTATTTCAAAGATTAAGAGATATTTTATCCTGCTTAATCTCTATGATTGAGGAAAATCGATTGTGGAAGAAGGGTTGTATGATAATTCTGGCATCAGTATGGGATATGAATATATATATGAGGGTTCTATTTTTTATATTCTAGTTGTACGAGACTTTTCAGATGTATTTTCCAAGGAGTTAGTTAGTTTACCTCCGGATAGAGACGTTGAATTCTTTATTGATGTATTTTCGGGTACGGCTTCGATATCTAAGGATCCGTATAGATTGATACCAAAGGAGCTTAGGGAGTTGAAAGTTCAGCTCCAGGAGTCAATGGATAGAGGATTTGTTCTTCCAGGTGTCTCTCCTTGGGGAGCACCTATTCTATTTGTGAATAAAAAGGATAGTACAATGTGTATGTTTGTGGACTATAGAGAATTAAGAATAAGTATCTGTTGCCACGAATTGATGATTTGTTTGATCAGCTTGCTGGATCTTCTATATTCTCGAAGATTGATTTGAGATCTAGTTATTATCAACTAAAGGTAAGAGAAGTAGATGTGATGAAAATAGTTTTCAGTACTCAGTGCAAACACTACGAGTTTTTGTTCATGCCTTTTGGGGTGACTAATACACTAGCTGTTTTTATGGACTTGATGAATAGAGTATTCAAAGATTTTTTGGATTAGTTTGTGATCATTTTCATAGATTATATTCTGGTGTATTCTGCTTCTGAGGAAGATCATGCAAGACATTTGAGAAGTCAATAGGAGACTTTGAGGCAGCATCAGTTGTATGCAAAATTCTCTAAATGTGAATTCTGGCTTAAGAGCATTTCTTTTCTGGGACATGCAGTAAGTGGTGAAGATATTTCTTTTCATCCCTAGAAAATTTAAGTAGTTGCTAATTAGCCAAGGCTTAATACAGTATTTGAGATTTGTAGTTTCTTGGGCATGGCTGGATATTATAGAAAGTTTGTGAATGGAATTTCCTAGATTTTAGACTGACTCAGAAGTCAGTAACTTTTATTTGGACACCGGAGTGTGAAGCTAGTTTTTAGAGATTGAAGGATTATTTGACCTCAACTCTAGGGTTAGCACTTCATCCATTAAGGAAGGATTTCAAGTATTCAGTGATGCTTCACTGAAAGGATTGGGATGTGTTCTGATGCAGCATGGTCGGGTAATAACTTTTGCTTCAAGATAGTTTAAACCACATAAAAAAGAACTACTCGACACATGATTTCGAATTGGCTACTGTTGTATTTGCTTTAAAAATTTGGTGTCATTACTTGTATGCCATCATGTGTGATATTTTCACAGATCATAAGAGTTTGAAGTACATGTTCACTCAAAAAGATCTAAATTTGAGGCAGAGGAGATGGCTTGAGTTGATCAAGGACTATGATTTGACAATTTAGTATCAACCTGATAAGGCTAATATGGTAGCAGATGCTTTGAGTAGGAAGTCTTCTGAATTGTCAAGTGTACAACTTACCTCAGAAGAGTATTTGATAAAATATATGGAAACAATACAGTTGGAGGTAATATCTTCTAATAATTCTGGTATAATAACATAGATGATCATTCAGCTCTCTTTAGAGGAAAAGATTCATAAAGCTCAAAAATCAAATGCTGAATATTTGAAATTGATCGATCAGATCAAATCTGATAAGAAATTTAAACTATGAGTTTTTTATTCTGATGTCATTTTATGTAAGAATAGGCTTTGGGTTCCTATGTCTGGAGATCTGAGAAAAGAGATTTTGTATGAAGCTCATTACTCAGGCTATACTATTCATCCAGGAAGTAGTAAGATATACGGAGATATGCAAAGTACATTTTGGTGGCATAGATTGAAAAAGGATACTACGGAGTTCATTTTGAAATGTGAAGCCAGTCAGCTAGTGAAGGCAGAGCATCAGTGACCGGGAGGTCTTTTACAGTCGTTGCCCATTCCTGAGTGGAAGTGGAAAGATGTGACAATTGATTTTGCTATGGATTTCCCCAGATCAAGACAAGGGCATGATGCTATTTGGGTGATTGTTGATCGGTTGACAAAGTCTACACATTTTCTTCTGATTAGACATACAAGCATTAGCTTGGAACCTTATAAAGCTCTGTATGGTAGAAAGTGTAGAACTCCTTTTACTTTGACAGAGGTGGGAGATAGATAAGTGATGGGTTCAACTTTTATGGATGTTACTGTGACGAAGATCAATCTGATTAAAGAAAGGTTGAAATCTATACAAGATAGATAGAAAAAGTATTACAATCAGAAGCACAGATTAGTTGAATTTCAGGTTAGTGACTTTATGTATGTCAAAGTCAATCCGATGAAAGATGTTAACAGATTTAAAAGAGTAAGAAAGCTTAGTCAAAGGTATGTTAGACCTTTTTAGATCATTGAAAAGGTTGGAAATTCTGCTTACAGGTTATAATTGCCTGATCCGATGTCTGATATACACAACGTGTTTCATGTATCCCTTTGAGAAAGTGGATATCTGATTCTAGAAAGAAACTTTCTACTTACGATGTGGAGGTTCAGGCGAATCTCCAGTATAAAGAAGAACCTAAAAGGATTTTGCCTTATGATGTGTGAAAGTTGAGAAGCAAACAAATTCCTATGGTTAAGGTACAATAGAAGTTCAGAACGGCAAGAGAGGCTACTTGGGAGAAGGAATCATATATGAGACAGTTGTATCCAAGTCTGTTCTGACTCAATTTTGCTTTGAAAATATCTAGGACTATTTTTCTTAAGGTGTGTAGATTGTGAAACCCTTAAACTTTCAAGTTATTGTTGAAAAAAAAGTTGTGTAGTTAGTACGTACGAATCGTCTGTACGAATTGAAGAAAGTTTAAAAACTATGTATGGTTAGTCTGTACGAACTGATTAAAGTACAAGTTCATCTATACGAATCATAAGTTCGTCTGGACGAACTGAACAATTTTTTTTGCCAGAGCCCATCGCCCTAGGACGAAAATCAATTATCATCCGTACGAACTTGTTCTGAGGGGTTGACATAACGGATTGTCCCGGGATGAATGTAAATTTTTATTTGGATGATCGTATATATAATTTTAAGTACGATTTGTTTCATTTTGAAGAGAGAGAAAGAGGAGAGAGAAAAAGAAGAAAAGAGGAAGAAAAGCCACGTTTTGGACGTCTTCGGTCCATTCTCGTCCGTCGCTGTAGTTGGGAAAGTTGATTGACTCGAGGTAAGGCACATTATGCATGGCTCAATTTTTAGAAATGTGAGTTTTGATGGATTTTTTGTTTCAAATTTGTTTTCCAATAGCGAAAAATAAGTATATCTTTGCACCAGTAAAACTTTTACTACCTAACTTTTTGTATGTTATAGAGATGATATTTTTGTACGTTTTGAGTATTTTCTGGAAAATTTTCACCGGGTATTTTGAATTCTGAGAAGTCTTTATTGAATAGAAAATTACATGGGTTTTGAAAAAATTTCTTCAGTATAATTAAAGCTTTGAAATGATGTTTTACACAATCTCTAGTAATTTGGTAAATTTTTTAAACTGTGAATTTTGATTAGTTGAATTTTCTATTGTCTGCCGTTATACTATCTGATGATATTCTGATGCGAATCAAATTTCTTTGAATCTGATATAATTGATGTTTGATATGATTGAATGATATTAAAAGGGAGTTATAAGGGGCTAGAATCCTTTGAGATTTTGTCTATGTTAGGGAAGGGAGGTATAAGGAGCCAGAATCCGTTGAGATTCTATCTGGGTCTGGGAATTTGAAAATAAATTCTGACCTAATTATTCTGTATATCTTATATGTTCTAGTGCTGTAAGCACAAGGGAGGCATAAGGGGGCAGAATCCCTTGAGATTCTGTCTGGGTCAGGTAAATCTGTTTTGAAATGTGATTTGAATTGTTTTCTAAAATATGATATGAACTCTGATATGAATTCTGATTTGAATGATTTTGTGACATGAATTTTCTTTAACTCTTCTGTATCTGTTATGAAATCTATTATGTATGAATATCTATATTCTATTTGATTTATGTTCCGTATGAATCTCTGAACTCTGTCTGATATTCTTATTTATGTACAAGTATCTTAATTATGTATGGCTATTTGAATAAACTATTTTTAAAGCTTTTTGTTAGTATTTTGATATGAGAGTATCTAGAAATTTAGATCGGCTAGTGTAGTCTTGCTGTGTTGTTAGCTCACTGTGGTTATCTTCATGGTTTTCTGATTCTGGGAAAGGAAAAGAGGTTTTGGACTAGCCGTTCTAGATCTGATCTGAGATTAGGTATTTTTGTACTTTTAATTATTGTTTAGTCGTGGCTATTTTTCTATTCTTCTCTATATTTTCTATTTATAGCCACGCACTGTAATGTATATGATCATTTAGATGGTGAAAGAAAGAAAGAAATATTTTGTGGATGAGTTTTCTGCATTTGAAAGTTTTTAGTAGCTCTGTGGTTATGTATTGTGAAAGAATATTAGAAGAAAGTCTAAAAATAAATTCCAAAGCTAGATCCTAGGGTTCATCAATCGTGACTCAACACGATGGGATTCGTCCCGATCGGGTTGGGTCGTGACATTGCACTGGATTCTATAGACCTTCTATAGAGAGTCAGTCATATGATGACTTAGATCCCAATGTCTTCATGCAGCATATTAGAGGGTATATATTATACACGATAGGATGCTCCCTCATGCCAGATTGCTCAGGCTCTCAAGTATCCTTATAGTACTTACCACTTATGGAAGATTTAATACAATTTAGTGCTATGTCACTGGGCAGTTAGGTCCTCGTAAACTTATATAGAGAAGTATGTTTAGCGACAAAGCCGACAAGATTACATATGGCTGGATGTTTGGCACTGCTATAGGTTTGGTCATGGGAGGAGTGACTTCATGTTGGTAGACCAACACTTCGGGTGCCTGCCTTCCCCGATATTGCTAGAAAACCCCTTGGTTATAGGTATAACATTCAAGCAAACTAAGTTAAATCACATGCCATTATGTATTATTTTATTATAACATATAAGCATCATTTAACATATAGGTAGGCGGAGGATCAATTATGAGAGGTCTCAATTAGGAACATGCTAACTTATCGAGATGAGCTTGATGGTCTACGACAGAGCCAGGTACATATTCATAAGTTTAATATACTTTCTATGTATAATTAAAAGATAATCTCAATTGATTTAATATTATCTAAATAGGTCATGATGATGCCATATAGTGATGAACTTATGGCTAGGCTACCTCCTATATGCTAGGAGTCCTCGGAGATATGTAGAGCATGGGTACCATTGATAAGTTGGAAACAAGTTGAGTGGAACATGGTTGATCGGGTGATGCGCCAATTTGGGGTTATTCAGCCCACGAATATACAACCCATAAAGGACCTTCAAGAGAGTTGCTAGTCGTGGGAGAGCTGATATTGACTAGACATGATACTATATGGATCACATTACTTTATGGAATAATATGCGTGAACACATCATCCCAATATTACCATCAGAGGGAAATGGAAGGCAGGAGTTATCTATATACATCCGATGGTATCGATCGTGGGCTTCCCTATACTTATTGAATGTGTCACAACAACCTCCGAAGATGTTCTACCCAAGATCACCAGGCGAGCTGTTGATGGTTAATATGCTTGATTTAGATGCACAATATAATAAATTACTCATATAATATACTAACATTTCGTTGACAAAACAAATAGGCTAATTACATAAGGCATAGTAGGCATATCACTCATAGATTTGCCGGTCAGCATGCTGAAAGTGCAAGCTCTATACAACAGGCACTTGATGATTGTGATGAGTTGTACTCCAGGCTAGAGGCTTCACTATTTATTGACTATAATTTCCTTGATTCTTGTGAGGAGCATGGGAGACAACAATCCAATAGAGGATTTAATGAGCATCATATATCAAGATGGTCTATATCAGATGCTCCATCTAGGATGATGGGAGAGAGTAGCCATGCAAGAGAGATAAATGAACCTCCTAGGCAATCAATGTATGTTGGGTCTGGAGAATTTGCTGTGCCTTCACAATTCGTAGGAGGCTTTCCAAGCATGATAGGGGGGAAGGTTCATCTAGGGCAGGGCCGTCAAAATAATATTGGAATCAATATGGATTTCAATTA